CCTATAGGCCAAGTTAGATTTCTATACCTAACTGATTGTGTTATTCCCTCTTTGAGCCAAATCTGGTGAGAGTTAGGTTCTAACAATGCTCATCTCTCTCTCTTCTTTCCCTCTACTGTAACAGGTTTTTGTGCCTTTTCCTGTAATGTAATTTATCCTTGTCTGCCTCCTCCTTTCCTTTTCTCCCAGTACAATCCCTTAATTAGATTGGACTAATCCCCTTATTTAGATCCATTTAACCTACTTGATTAGATTTTTTTTATCATTACATGAAAGTCAACTTATACCCACCCCCTCTGTCTTTGTATACCCCTTTAAAATGATGTAATAATAACACAGTTCTCGAGAGCTACAAGTGTCATCTTCCCTTGTAGGGATGTAAAAAGTTTGTCCTTGTTAATAACATGTTGTTGTTTTTCTCTCCTGTTTACCTTTTTATGTCTCTCTTGAGTCTTGTATTTGAAGAATAACTTTTCTGTTGAGTTCTGTCCTTTTTAAGGTTTGGAAGTCCCCTATTTCATTGAATGTCCATCTCCTCCCCTGAAAAATTGTGCTTATTTTTGCTGGATGGTTAATCCTTGGTTGTAATCCAAGCTCCTTTACTTTATGGAATATTGTATTCCACACCCTGTGATCTTTTAATGTAGAAGCTGCAAAGTCTTGTGTAATCCTGACTGGAGTTCATGATATTTAAATTGTTTCTTTCTGGCTACTTGCAGGATTTTCTCTTTGAAATGGTAATTTTGGAATTTGGCTACTATATTCCTTGGCATTTTCAATTTGGGATTCCTTTTTGGAGGTGATCAATGGGTTCTTTCAATGACTAATTTACCCTCTGGTCCTTGGACCTCAGGGCAGTTTTCTTTGATGATTTCCTGAAGGGTGTTGTCCAGGCCCTTTTTTTCATCATGATTTTCAAGTAGACCAATCATTTTTAAATTATCTCTCCTAGATCTATTTTCCAGGTCAGTTGTTTTAGTGATGAGGTATTTTACATTTTCTTGTATTTCTTAATTCTTTTGTTTCTGTTTGACTGATTCTTGCTCTCTCATAGAGTCATTAGCTTCCACTTGTCCCATTCCATTTTTGTGGAGTTGTTTTCTTCTATTAGATTTTGACCCATTTTACTTTTTAAGAAGTTCTTCTCTTCAATGAGTTTTTGTGCCTCCTTTTCCATTTGGTCAATTCTACTTTTTAAGGACTTGTTTTCTACAGTTAATTTTTGTCCTTCTTTTTCCAAGCTATACCTCTCATTTCTTTTCCCAATTTTTCTTCTACCTCTTTTATTTGACTTTTAAAATCCTTCTTGAGGGGGCAGCTAGGTGGCACAGTGAATAGAGCTCTGGCTTTGGAGTCAGGAGGACCTGAGTTCAAATCCTGCCTTGGACACTTAACACTTACTAGCTGTGTGACCCTGGGCAAGTCACTTAACCCTGATCGTCTCACCAAAAAAAAAAAAAAGCAAAAGAAAAAAATCCTTCTTGAGCTTTTCCAAGAAAGCTTTTTGGGCTTGAGACCAGTTTATATTCCCCTTAGAAGTTTTCGGATGTTGGTATATTAACAATGTTGTCCTCTTCTGAATTTGTGCCTTGATCTTCTCTTTCCCCAAAATAAGAATATATGGTCATTTTCTGTTTCTACTTTTTGTTCTTGGTGTTTGCCTGTTTTCTAACCTTTTACAAAAAAAAAAATGTTGAGTTCTCTTGCTGGAGCAAATGGGGCACTTACCCAAGCTTCTTTTCCTGCTTACTGGGGCTTTGCACTTGAATGTTTGGCTCCTGGTCACCTGGGCCTTGCACAGGTATATTTTGATGCTGGTGGATTTCTGTTAGCCTAGAGCTTTGCCTTCTGGAGTTGTGCTTCCCAGAGTTGTATCGAAGCACTGAGTGATTTTGCTGCTGGAGAACAACATCATTGTCGTTTTCAGAGCTGGTGTTTACCAGTTTCCCTTGACTCATTTCTTAAAGAGACCTGTTCACTGAATGGGCATTACCTCACTCAAAGTGAGAACCTGAAAAGACCTACGCTTAAAACGGCCAAGATCTCCCATTGCATTGTGGGCCATCTCCAGTCCTCCTGATGAATATCTGGCCACTGGACCCAGATGGCTCTGGAGGAGAAAGTGAGGCTGGTGACTCTGTACCGCCCTCCTTCGTTTAAATCCAATTCACTCGCAAGCCATGTCATCACCTCCCTGATGTCATGGTCCTCTTTGAGAACAAGAACAAACACAACAAGCTGTATGATTATGGTAAAATTATAGAGGCTCTCAGAACTTCAGTTTCCTCATCTATAAAACACAGATGATAGTATTTATACTACCAACCTGACAGAATTTTTGTAAGAAAAAATTTTTTTTTTGCAAATCTTTGCAATTCATGAATGTTCTGATTACCAATTACTATCAACTAATTTTTCTGTCTCCATTCTTTACCATCTATCTAAACCTTGCTCAACAAAGTAGACAAAATAACTTATCTAATCTAATTTATATATGTTATTGGTCAGTCATTTCACTTGTGGCTGACTCTTCATGACCCAGTTTTGAGGTTTCCTTGTTCAAGAGACTGGAGTGGTTTGCCATTTCCTTCTCTAGCTCATTTTACAGATGAGCAACTGAGGCAAACAGGGTTAAATGAATTGTCCAGGGTCACACAGTTAGTTTCTGAGGCCAGATTGGAACTCTTGACTTCAGGCCCATCACTCTATCCATTGTACCACCTAGCTGCCCCAACTTACATATAATTATAGTTATGTATTGCAGCTATATTTTATCACATCCACTAGATTGTATGTTCCTGGAGGACTATGTCTGTGTCTTATTTCATCTTTTATATTTCCAGGACCTAGTTGAGTTCAATCAAGGTAACCAATTAATTGACAAGCATTTATTAAATTACTATGTGCCAGGCATTGTGCTAGGTTCCAAAGATAAAAATACAAAGAATAGAATAATTCTTGTCCTTGAGAGCTCATGTTCTAAGAGGGGACACAAGTACCTATGTAAGTATGTGCAGAACATATGTAAAAAGAATAAATACAACTCTGCTTAAGAAAAAATAAAGCCCAATTTGTACAAAATAAAACTGTCTCATCACTAGTGAGTAATCACATCCAAAAAACATCCTACCTGAATATAAAATGTCTTGGTCAAACTCTCAAGTACCTCAAAATAATGAGTGTACAGAGGTCTGTTTCTCATTGTAAAACTGTCCCTGGGACTGTATCATCATTTGGATTTATTATACTTCTTGTTGCCGTAGGGAGGATGCTGAGAATATGAGCTAGTCTCTCTCATATCGCACTGCACCATAGGTGCCTAAATTTAGCAAGTAAATGGAAAAACCCATTTCTTAAGAAGCTACCTGAAGATTATTTTGAATGGATTCAAAACACTTGCAGAAGCTCACAAATAATGAACATCTGCATTAAGGGGGAAAGAAATTAATGTAATTTCAGATTTCCACGTAGTCTTGAATCACTTTGTGGAAACTTGAAACTTTTTCAGAATCCTTTGTTGGCTTCAAAATTTCAAGTGGAGGTTTGTATCTGTATCTATTTATTTTCATTAAAATTATTAAATTTAGGTTTCAGAAAGGAGCTATCAACTCAATGAAAAGAAGGAATTCCTAAAAATTAGAGCTATAAAAAATGCCTTGGGAGGTAATATATCTAGAATACTGTGTGGAATTGGGAGTAAAGATTAAAATTTTTGTTTTCTTTCAAGGAATACTTAATGGAAAAAATTAGGATTATTGCATTAGTTCTTTGGCAACTAGAGATGTTCAAATAGAATTAGATGATTATAGGAGGGATTTGTGCTTTGGGTCACTGGTTGGACTAAATGACCTTCAAAGTCCTATCTAACTCTATGATTCTGATTCTCTAAACTCAGTTGTGTTGGTCTAAAGTGACCTAACATTCAGAAGTCATAAGTCCATACCATTGGAACTAGAAAGAATCTGGGAAGTCCAGCCCCTCATTTTTGAGATGAAGAAAATGAAGTGTAAAAAGCTTATATGTTGAAATAAACCCTGCTGGTAAATGTCTACTTTCTCCTCCTTCTAATTAACTGGACACCTTTTGACCTTGAATTAAAGCAAATTAAATGAATCTATACTGAAGGGCAGCATGGTACAGCAGATAAAGAGCTAGCCCAGAAGCCAGTAAGACCTGGCTGGGTTCAGTTCACACTACTGACACGTACTGGTTATGTGTCTGGGTAAGTCATTTAACCTCTCTGTGTCCTAGGTCACTTTCTAAGGCTATGAGTTACAAAGAAGGTGACTTTAATTGGTACGAAGCATTTTTTCACCTGGAAATTCCCTATAACCAATGACATCATCAGTCCTGTACTTATCTTTATGTACAAAATTAATACAGGTTACTTTTAGGGGGGAAGCACTAACATGGGGCATCAGGAAAGGCCTCATGTAGGAAGCAGATTCCTTTTGGAGCTTTGAAGGAATCTGGGGATTTTAAGAAGCATAGGTAAGGAAGCACATCTTCTTTAACTCACTAATTCACAAAGAGAATTATTCTTTGCACCTCTGACTTTTGGCTTCATAATAGCAAAAGGAAATCACATTGCTAACCACTTTGTACCTAAGAAAACATTTTTCCCTTAATGAATGCAAGGAGATTGTGTCTGCAAAGAACCAAAGGTTCACATAGGTTGTATTCATATATTCATTTTGTGTATTTATGCTACCTATCCTAGAATTAAGCCAGATGTTCAAGCTGTGCTTTAAGCTAAAATCCTGACAACTAGTTATGGCTTCTATGTGCACACCAAGTTATTAGGCATTACCAGCTTTGGGTAGATCTTAAGAATACGTGATTAGGTGTCCAATAATTTCCCTCTTATTAAATGTTTGTTACAGCAATAAGAAAAATTCATAGTTTGATCATTTAATTTGCTTCTACATTTCAATAAACATTTTGGTAACAGCTTCTCCTCTCCCTACCCCCCCTCCCACTTTTTTTTCTCCCAACATTAGTATCCCAAGGGCATAACTGTCGAGGCATTTTCTGTTATTATTGCGCAGTTGCTGGGGCTTAGTCTGGGAATAAGATACGACGACAAGAGATGCCACTGTTCTCAATCTACCTGCATAATGAGCCCAGAAGCTGTGTAAGATTGAAAAACACCTTGTTTCGTGCTGATGTTGTTTATTTTAATGCAGATATATTTTGTGTGTAAAATCCAAGTCATTCCTAATTCATGATTATACCAGAAAAAAGACACAAATTGACCCTTTCCCTATAAAATATATATTTGATTTAAACATGTTTATAAAAAAGAATGAGGACAAGTGGGCCCTGCTTTCAGACAATTTAGGATACAACATTTTACTTTAGGAGATAGGTTAGGAAAGTTATTCTAGTCAGACTATTTGCATTACAGAATGAATTTATCAGAATTTTTTTATAGACCAAATGTAAGAGACAAACTTTACAGGAGGTTTTTTTTATTTTTTTTCACAGTTAATGATAATCGGGCTTATAGGTCAGAAGAAACTGGAATGATCTCTTTTAGCTTGCTAGGCAATAAGAGCCTATAAGGAAATAATGTCAAAGAGGGATAACATGAGTTGCCTTCTCCAAGTTTTTTCTTCTTAATGATTCGCTTGTTTTAGGTAGGAGCCAAGAGATGAATCATAAGGGAAGAAAAAATTTGGCTATTTGTATAAGAGGCCACTTACAGGCACAAATCCCTGGGACTAACTTTCATCTTTAAAAAAAAAACTTTATATCAAATATACATTCTATCTAACTATATAAGAGCTTTAAAATTGTTATATTATGTCAGATAAATAACTAATAATCTTTCCAAAAGTGACTCCAAGAAGTAAGTTGTATCTCCTGGAAGGACAAAAATATCACTCCTGACAGTTATGTCACTCTTGTTTGTTTGTTTGTTTTGCTGCTAGGCAATGGGATTAAATGACTTGCCCAGGATCACACAACTAATAAGTGTCAAATGTCTGAGGCTGGATTTGAACTCAGGTCCTCCTGACTCCAGGGCAGGTGCTTTATCCACTGCACCACCTAGCTGCCCCAGATTAAAGTCACTCTTGCAAATATTACAGTCACACAAAATAATACAGAATTTGAGAGTTTAAAGGGATTTGAGTGGCTATTTAATTCCAACCCTACACAAATGGAATCACTAGTATAGCAGTCTTCTTGGGAGACTAGAAAAGATTACAGAGAAGAGGGAAGCAGTATATCCTGGTGCTCTCTTTCTCTCTCACAACTGCTCCAACAAAGATCAAAGAAGGTCATGAGTTTGGGTGAATGGCAGTTGGGAAATCTGAGGATGAGCCCCAGTAGTTCATTTTTCCTTCCCAGGTCAGTGTAGGGAGATAGAAGCCCAGTAGGGAGGAGAGTCTTCCAGCACCTGGATTGAGCTAGGCCCTCCAGCTATGTAGTAGAGCAGGGAGGAGGAAGACGTGTGATTTGGCAATTATGTGGTATGACTCTGAGCAGAGTTTTGGGCCCTTCCAGTTTGACTTGGGGTTAGAGCCTGTGGCTTTCAGATATTGGGGCAAAGAGGGAAGACCAGGGCTAAGTCTATACCTGTGTCATTCTGACCTCAGAGCAGAGTCAAAGATGCAGCTCAGAAGGAGACTGGGGCTTGTGGCTATATAGCAGGGCAGGAAGTGTAGATTAGGGACACTTCTACTTCTCTGTCATTGACACTGTTGTTCAGTTGTTTCAGCTGTGTCTAACTCTTAGTGACACTATTTAGGGTTTTCTTGGCAGAAATACTGGAGGGGTTTGCCATTTCCTTCTCCAGCTCATTTTACAGATGAGGAAACTGAGGCAAACAGAGTGAAGTGACTTGTCCAGGGTCACACAGCTAGTAAGGATCTGAGGCCAGATGAATCTTCCTAACTCCAGACCTGGTGCCAACCAGTTGACACTAGAACAAGATTTTAGATTCAGCCCACAGACTTGGGCTGCAGCAGAGATAACCAGGGATGAGCCCTGAAGTTCTATGACTCTGAACTTGAAGGGCTTTCCAGTTAGCTGATGTAGTCTAGGGTCAACAGCCTTCTATTGGAGCTCCAACCAGGTGAAAACCTATAGTTGTGTTGTCTGACCCAAAATTGGGTTGGAAGCTATAGCTCACCAACTTGAATAATCCCTGAGATCCTTGTAGAATGCAGTATTCAATGTCCAAGGAAAACAGTGACAAGACCTTAGATAATACAGATAAGGGCCAAGCATGACCTTTACTGTGTCTCCAGAAGTGTGTGGAGGCTAGCCCTCACACAAAGTCCCTATTCAGGAAATAAAGCTGGAAGAATTAATAAACAAAAAAAGACATTTGATAAGGAATGTGGAGCCAGGAATGCCCTAGACAAATCTAGAAGAAGAGAATGACTTCACAACATTTAGAAACAAAGATGCAAAGAAAAACACAATGAGGCCAAAAAGTCAACCAGAATTCCTAAAAGAAATGAAGTAAGAGTTTAAAATGATATTATAAATGAAATAAGTGCTCTAGAGTACAGATGTCAACTTTGTAGCCTCTGGGATGCATGCATTCCACAAAACTCCTGAGCATGGCCCAAACCAGATTAAAATGTCATTGGGAAATATTTAATAACATAAATAAAAATGCAATACATTAATAATGTTGATTTGTGGTTTTCCAAGTCAATATGTGACCGGAAGGGATCCATTTCTATTTGAATTTGACACTGTTGCTCTATAGGAAAGATTTGGAAGGAGAATTAGCAAATACAAAATCTTACCAAGTAACGAGATTCCTAAAAGCTAATTACTTCCCAAAATGCTAACGTTATTTAATTCTAGAAGTTAATTACTTCACATAACAACAAGAAATATTAAAACAAAGTAAAAAAATCTGGAAAAAACAGAAGCAAATGTAAGGAATCTCATATAAAAAAACTGACCTGAAGGAAGCTGGAGAAAAAAAAATAAGCAAAAAAGAGCCAAGATACCATATCTCATCGAATAATCACTAGAAACTGCCTACAGGCAACCAGATGGCAAAATGAAAACAGAAAAATCTACTGGCCACCTACTGAAATAAACTCCCAAATGAAAATTCCAAGAAATATTATGGCTAAAATCCAGAGTTTCTTTGTAAGGAAAAAAAATCACTACAACTAGTGAAAATGCAAAAAGTCAAGTACCAAGGAGCCACAATCAGCTTTACACAAGATTTGGTCTCTGCATTTTTAAATGAGAGGAGAGCTTGGAACAAAATTCCAAAAGGTAACAATAACAAAAACAAAATAAAAACCATACAACCAAGAATAACTTACCCAGAAAAACTGAGTAAAATCCTACAGGAGAAATCAATCAATTAATCAAAAAGAGGACTTAAAAGCATTCTTGATGCAAAGACCAAAGCTGAGTAGAGACTTTGAAATGCAAATACAGGAATCAATAGAAGCATAAAGAGGTAAATACATAAGTATGGAAATAAACGTGGGCAATTAAAAGGAAATAAGCAATGATGAAATGTTAACATTCTATCAGGAAGAAAAATACATTCCCTTAGAATTCTAATTTTGTCAAGAGTTATGGAATTAAATGCGGGTCTGTGAGTAGTTTTGCTATGTTTTAATGGCCTTAAGAAGAAAGAAAAGGGAGGGGAGATAATGCAAGGAAAAGGATAGAAAGTTACTGTCATATAATCAGGCTGTTCAAGAAGACTATACAAACAAGCTCTAAGAGGTGGAGGGAGAAGGGAATCACTTGAGTTACCCCATTTTCTATGCTGTCTGTAGCAAGGCTGTACTAGTAGTTACAAGGACCTAACACAGGCTTACAACAAAACCTTCCCTCACACTCATCTCCTTTCTTCTTTCCAGTGCCTTTAGATTGTGCAAGTTTGCCTCGGCCACGAAAAGAGCCATTCAGAGCAAAAAGCAGATGGGGGCTCCACCTTACAGCACTAGGGCTGCAAAACTCTGAACTATTTTTGCTAACGCAGACAAACTAGTAGCAATAGTATAGATAGGGCCATGGTGGAAAACCCCAAGATATCAGTGTGGCAAAGGTCTGAACTTTTAGTGCTGGAGCAGAGAATGAAGGAACAGAGGGAATAGGACAGGATATGAAGACAAGACACTGAATGTATGTGTGTTGAGGGGGGATGATTAGGGAGTTGTGCAGCACTCCATCAAGCCTTTGGGAAAGAGCATCCAGCTGCGGCCAGTTATCATCAATCAAAATGACCTGGAAAAGAGACATAGTCTGGTTAATCATAAACTACCCAACATTGGACGAGGCTGAGACACTTTACTCCAGCCCCAAAGGAAACCACTATCAGAAGGTTCAGAGTAAGAAAGTGAATAGGGGTGAAATCATGAAGAAGAAAAAAAGATTGAATTTATCAAAAATCTCAGGAAGAAGAAAACTCGAAGACCTTGAACAAAACAGATGAATCAATAAGGAAAATGCTAACAATAGAAGAAAATGTGGTCTCCATATCTGAAATTTATAAAGAAAAATAATGAACAGGACTAGTTAAAGGGGAGGAGAGGAAGTGGGAATCTACTTGAATAAGAGGGGGAAAATGGTGAAGAATTATATAACTAGATAAAAGCAGGCGAGAAGATGGAACTAATAAGTGAAGTCTCAAAGTGAAATGGGTAGTAATAAGAGGAAGGGATCAGAGGTCAGAGGAAGAATGCCATATTAAGAAAGAATACAGTAAAATAAAGGGATGCAATACTATGTTTGTAGCACAGGAGGGAAAATAATACCTTGAAAAACCAATATTAGAGACAGAAAATAGAAACCTAACTTGTAATTTTAAATGTGAATGGATTAAACAATCCAATAAAATGGAAAAAAGTAACAGATTGGCTAAGAAAATAAAACACTATGACCTGTTGCTTATAAGAACCACATTTAAAAACAAAGACATACAGAAAATAAAACCATAGGCATGGGAAAAAAAAATTACTGTACATCAAGTCAATCCAAAAAGCAAGAGTTACCACCATACTTTTGGATAAACCAAAAGCAAACATTCAAAAGACAGAAAGGGATAAACAAGAAAACCATAATACACTGAAAAAAACCAGAGACAACAAACCATTATCAGTAACATATGTTCCAAATGCTTTAGCATCCAAATTCACAATGGCATTGCAAAAGAATATGCGTTTCTGAGCTTTGAGCTTCAGTTACCTAAACTGAAGGGCTCAAACTGGTTGACTTCTATGGTCCATTGCAGCATTTTAGGTCTGTGATCTCATGATCTTAAGAGCATATCCAAATACCCCCAGAAATATCTACTTCCTTGGGCATAATTGGTGGCTACAGCCAGTTGTAACTTCCCTTACCCTGCTGTTTCCTTGTGGCAGTGTTCTTACATTCTAATACAGATGAAGAACCTGAAAAGTTAAGGTCACATAGCTAATCACTGGCAAACCAGAATCATATTTTAATAATATACTCCAGTGAGAGAAATGGAATTGCCTCATTGTCAGTCATCACTTTTATTTGTTAAAATTTCTGTTGTGAACCACTTGTTTTTATTTCCAGCCTATTTAGAGCATTTAAAATCAATACTCACAATTGCTTTTTTATAGGTCAAGAAATGTATGTGAATTCAGAAGTAATATTTCTGACAAAGTTATTAAATTTATTTTTAGGCTCTCCAGCGGGATTAAGGTTTTTAGCCACTGCAGCTTGAGTGACTTTCAAAATTTCATTTCAAAGACTGGTGCTAAATGTCTTAAAAATCAACCAACTCTTAAATATTTTTCCTCGGAGGTTTCTGGATCCTGCGGGAATTACATAGTATCTGGAGATGAACAGTGTGATTGTGGCCCTCCATCGGTAAATATTATCAAAAGAAACAGACTTTATTGTGAACATTCCATATTTTGACTTGCTGTGAATAAATGATGTTTTGAAAAATCTGAATATGCAGCAAATATCCAGCAAAATAAAAATCAATAAAAAGTCAAATTAAAAGCAATTTAAAGCATATTGTGGTACATAGGGGAGTTAGGTAGTCTGCGGAGTTTTGAATAAGTCTTAAAAAGTGCCACAAAAAATACCCATTATTAAAAAAACTGGGCATGAGGACCTTTTTCCCCAACGAAATTTTTTTTTTGTAAATTAAATTTTTACTAATGCTTTTGTTTTTTACATCATAGTCATTTACAGATTTATCTCTTCAACACCCTTCTCTCCCACCTTGTTAAAATCTGACCAGTTTTAACAAAGAAAAACTTGTAACAAAGAAAAACTATTAAACAAAACCAACTGACATAGCTACCATTTCTGGCAACCTGAGCCACATTTTGTACTTATATCCCCTATGTCTCCAAATAAAAGAGGAAGGTAGAATTCATTTTCCTCCATTTATTTCTTTTGTATTGCTTTTATGCTATCTTCCTCTTTTAGGGCAGAACCATGTCCTTATGCTTAATTTTACTTATCCATAAGTTCTCTTTCTCACTCCCCTTTTCCCAAGTTCCCTGAATTTATTTAAATTGTTAATATATTTATTTCTTTTTATTTCCTCCTTTTGACCCTTCCCTTTTCCTATGCAGAAATGAATGTGGTTCCCTTACACCTCTTAACTAAAGTAACATTCTTTTGTGATTCCCTTTTCCAAGAAGTGTTCTTTTACTTTGTCCTCCCTATTAATTATTACTCTATCTGATTATGCTATGTTCATTCTTTGCTCTCTGTGTTTCTCATTAAAGTTAGGGGTTCAGTAGTACAGCAGTTGAATAATCTATATCCCATTTTTGTCTTGGTAATTTGTAGATTTTATCACATCTTCTCTGGTTTATTTTTTTAAAAATTGTTGTTAAAGTGGTCTCTTAAGGTCTCTACTCCCATGAAACAACACATATTGTGAGAGCATTATCTCTCCCTTCCACCCTGTGGGATCTTTTATCAATTATACCACTTTGTTTCATCTCTTATCAAGCAATTAATCTGGGGGTCAACAAGCATTTGTTAAGCATCTACACTGTTCTAGAAACTGGCAACACAAAGGCAAAAAAAAAAGAAGAAGACATAATCCCTAATTTTAGTCCTATTAGGGGAGAAAACCTGTACATAAATATGTGCATATATATTACTTGCATATAAAATTAATACTAGAGAATTTTGAGGGGAGGAGGCATTATTAGCTGGATAGGTCAGGAAAGACTCCTCCTGGAGGTAGTACTTGACCTGAACTTTGGAGGAAACAAGGGATTTCAAGAGTGTTCGTGAGGTTACAGTGCATTCCAGACATATGGGGTAGTGTGTGCATGGGTAAAGAAGATAGTATGTGAGAAACAGCAAGAAGGCCAGTTTGGTTGGATTATAGGATTTGTAAAAGGGAATCATTTATAATAAGTTTGGAAGAGTAGGTTGGAGCCAGGTTGTGAGAGACTTTCAAAACCAGAGGTTTTTGTATTCCATCTAACTGTTAATAATAAGTCACTGGAGTTTATTGAGCAAGAAAGTAAATAATCAGACTTCTTCTAAAGCCAGAAGATCAAGATTCAGGATATTATTTAGGCAGCTGGATAAAGGATAGAATAGACAGGGGAGACCCTTGATGCAGTCACAACAATTAGGCTATTGTAATAGGAGGTGAAAGATGATGGAGACCTAGACTAGTGCGATCACCATGTGAGTGGGTAAGAGGAGAGAAAATGGAGATAGTGAGAATAGATAGTTTTTTCTAGGAAGCTGACTGAGAAAGAGAGGAAGAACTTATGCTACTTTAAAAATATGGTAGAGTCAACTGAAGTTTTTTAAGCCTGAGCAAGATCTGGCTATATTTATAGACTTCAGAGAATGAACCAGTAAATAAGGAGATATTGAAGATGATTATGGGGATAACCTACTAAATGATTTTAGAGGAAATGTGAGGTGATGGGATCAAGGACACATGAAGAGGGGTTGGCCTTACTGAGGAGGGGTTCCTCTTCATCAGAGACTAAAGTAAACAAAAAAATGGGGGCTGATTTTAGGGGGTTTTGAACCTGGAGGAAAGATGGAACTCATGGTGAATGGAGATATATTTTCTCAATAAAGAATGAATAAAGTCCTCTGTTCAGAAGACCTGGGAGGCTTGATGAGGAAAAGGATTTCAGTCTGTGGGGCTTTGACAGAGAATATATTAGGATGGAGTAAAAAGACTGCCTTGCTACAGCTAAGGTCTTTTAATCCTGTCAGAAAGTATATATTAAGTGCTTACTATGTTCTAGGCATTCTAGTAAGTGCTGAGGATACAAAGGAAGGCAAACAACAGACTCTGATCTCAAGAAAGTCAGTCTAATGGAGATAACATGAAAGCAACTACGCACAAATCACAAATATAGGATATTTTGGAGATAAACAACAGAGGGAAGTCACTGGGAAGGAAGAGGAGAAGAAGAAAGAAAGAAGGATGGAAGAAAAGAAAGAAGGAAAGAAACACATTTATTAAGCACCTAGTATGCCATGCATTGTGCTGAGTGCTTTACAAATATTATCTCATTTGATCCTCACTACAACTTGAAAGGTAGATTCCATTATCATCCCCATTTCATAGATGAAGAAATTGAGACAAATAGAAGATAAATGACTTGCGTAGGGTCACACAGCTAGTAAGTATCTGGAATTAAGCATGATCAGAAGAGGCTTCCTGTAGGAGGTGAGATTTTATCTGGGACTTGAAGAAAGTCAGAGAGGGCAGAAGATGGAGATGAGGAGAAATAGAATTCCAGGTATGGGGGACAGCCAGTGAAAATGTGCATACAGGAGATGGGAGTATCTTGTGTGAGATGTGTTACTGCCTCACATAAAGGGGAAAGAGTAAAGTATAGGAAGACTGGAAAGGTAGGAAGGGGTCTGGTTATGGAGGACTTTGAATGCCAAATAGGATTGTATATTTGATCTTGGAGGTGATAGGTAGCCACTGGAGTTTATGAATGGGGGAAGAGGTGATATGATCAGACCTGTGGTTTAGGAAGTTTAATTTGATAGCTGAGTGGAGAATGGATTGAAATGGAGAGAGTTGGGTCAGGGAGACCACCAGGAGAGTTGTTGCATGAGGTAATGAAGACCTGCAGTGTGGTGCCATTGTCAGAGGAGGGAAGAGAGAATACACTGAAGATAACATGAAGGTGGAATTGACCAGTCTTCGCAACATTTTGAATTTAGGGAATGAAAGTGAGTAGTCAAGGATGGGTGATGCTCTCACAAATATATATACATACATATATATATATATATGTATATGTATGCATATTGATTCATTTATTGGGGGCATGCTCTTATAAATTCAGAGATAATTAATTTCATTCTTCCTCCTCTTCTGTCTTAAATTCTCTGTAAATTCTTAGTCCTTTAGATCCTTTTGTATTGTTCTTTGATGATCTCTTTTAGTTTTTTGTAACATTGGATCAGAAATATGAGAAAAAAATGAGAAAAAGAGAAAAAAATTTCCTGTTAATTGTACATACTCATCTTTCTTGTATGGGTGGAATATTTTCAGGTTAATACTCTTCTTAAGTCCGGTTTTTGTTGCAGAAATAACCCAAATCCCTTGTCTCTTCCTCCACCCTATACTTGCAGCTAAAGAAGGAACTCACTTTATGTTTGCTCAAACAAGCAAACAGAAGATATTCATCACAACCTCCTTCTTTTACCTTCTTCCACATTTTGCAATCCCTTGATATCATCTCCCATCCTCTCTACCTTTACCCTAATCTCTGATGAAGCAGTAACTCTTCATCCCATTAAATGTTTTATATCCCTATATTTCCCGATCCCTTCTCTTCTTATCTATTCTAGCAGATTGCTCCTCACAATCATCCTCCCATCTCTTGCTTTCAATTTCTCCCATCTATTGATTCCTTCCTATAAACATACTAAAATCTCCATTAAAAAAAGAAAAAAAAAATCTTTGGAGAATCTACCAAGCTCTGCAGCTGTCATCCTACATTTCTCCTTCCATTCTTAGCCAAACTTGGAAGAGTTATCTGTATTACTGCCTCCATTGCCTAAGTTGTTAACTCTTTATAATATGCTTTCAGACCTCATCACTCAACTGAAAGTTCTCTCTTCAAAGTTATCAGTAATCTTTTAATTACCAAATATTATGGCCTTTTCCTAATCCTGACCTTTTTTTAAAGCTCTTCACAGAATTTAACCACCTCTACAGCTGATCACCTTCTCCCAAGATTCTCATGACACTGTTCTATTTGGATTCTCTGCCTTCCTATCTGACCACTCTTCATTATTTTTTCCTAGGCAATCATTCACATTATGTCCCTAATTATGATATATACCACAGTGTTCAGTGTTGGGCCCTCTTTTCTTCCCTATAACCACTAATTTGTTGGTCTAATCAGGTCCCATAGGTTTAAATGTCATCTTTATTCAGATGATTCCCAGATTTATGTGTTCAGTTCCAGTCTCTCCCTAGAATTCCAGTCTAAGGCAGCATGTTACAATGGAAAGAATTCTGGCTTTGGAGTCAGAATAACAGTGCTTCCTCTGTTGGTAGCTAACAAAAGATCTTGGTAAAGTTATTTCATTTCTCTAGGTTTATATTTCCTCTCCTCTAAAACCTCTGCTGTAAAAGTTGGGCCAGAGGTCCTCTTAAAATTACTTCCAACTCTTAATTCTGTAATCCTATGATGCTATGCTTTCACTGCTCATTGGACATTTCCTATAGTTCTTTTAAGGCCTAACTTAAATAGAGGGAGGGAGGGAGAGAGAGAAAGAGAGAGAGAGAGAGAACACTTTGTCCCTTTTGTATTCACATTCAGTTCCAGCACAGAAGCAAATCAAATGGCCTTTTTTTCATCATTCCGTGTTCAGAGTGGATTCAATTGATACCTGTATACCTGTAGATTGAGGTCAATCTTTCACCACCACTGTTTCCCATAAAGAAGTAGCCCTTTGCCTTGCCAAGGTAAACCCTGCTACCAGCAGTAGTGATCTCATTAAACCCTGCCTTCTTCAGTCAATTGCCCTCTCTATTCCCACTCTCTTATCTTCAATCTCTCCCTATCTGCTGGTCTCTTTTCTATTAACTACTAATATGCCTATGTCTTTACCATCCTCAGAAACCCTCACTTGATCTACCCATCGTTTCTAGCTAGAGAGAAGGCCAGTTTGTGTGAATTACAGTCAGTGATGGGAGTAATGTCCAGTGGGGCTGGAAAGATGGGTGGGAGCAAGGTTGTAAAGAGCTTCAAAAGTTTAACATAAGAGTTTATATTTGAGCCTAGAAGAAACAGGGATCCAGTATCGTTCATTGAATATGTGACTGGCAAGGATAGACCCTCCCTTTAATGAAAAATAATGTTTTCAACTGTGTTAAGGATGGATTAGGGTGAGGAGAGACTCATGTCAGGGAGACCAATTAGAAGTCTTTTGTATTATTTTTGTAGTATTCTAGGCAAGAGGATATGAACTAGCTTGGTGTCCTTGTGAGTAGAGAGAAGGAGTCATATGTAAGGAATATTGTGGAAATAAAAATGACAAAATCTTGGAACTGATTAGATATATGGGGTGAGATAAAGGGATGTGTCAAGGATGATGCTATGGTTATGAATCTGAGAGAATGGAAAAATGATGGTGTGTGACAGAAATAGGAAAGTTTGGAAGAAGGATGTCTCTGGGGGAAAAGATAATGAGTTTTGTTTTGGATATGTTCATTTGAGATGTATCCAGTGTATCCCATAGGCAGTTAGTGATCCAGGATTGAAACTCAGGGGATATCTGTGGTTATCTATATCTATGTCCATGTCCATGTACAAATCCATATCTAAATCTGTATCTATGCATATATATCTAACTGTGAGTCATTGGTGTAATTAAACCTATGGGAAATGATGTGGGTGAAGAGAGAGAAGAGTAAAGGATCTAAGAAAAACACCCACAGTTTTAGAGGGTGTGATATGGACAATTAATCCACATTGTTCCAAAGTGAGAATATCCCAGGTTCTGAGGGAAATTCTAGCATGAAAAGGCAACTAAATCATAGTGGCAAAGTCAGAAGAGTCAGAAGCATATCCAGGGAGGGAACAAAGCATGGCCAGCTTAGATCTGACCCCTTAAATGGAAGGATTTACCAGTCGGAGAAAAGAGCTGGCATAATGAAAGGATGTTCTAGGGAAAGAAGGCCTCAGGCAATGAGGGAGATGGCAGTATGAGTCATGGTGGCAAAGTCTGGAGAATCAAAAGCACCTCTGGGAAGAGAATGAGGCTTATTGGCCTCTACTTACCCCAAACACAAAATTAAAAGATTGGACTAGATTATCTCTAAGGTTCCTTCAGTCTTTAATATTCTGTGATTTTATAATTCAATTCATTTAGTGGCATGAAGATGGGAAATATTTAGACTCAGACACAAAACTTTCTTTCACATTGGTAAGTTTTTCATATTCAAAGATTCATAACATCTGTAGTACCTATGATGATAACGTCTTGGCAACCACATTCATCCCCTTTACCTACTTTGTACTACTATGAAGGAGATTTTCAATTATCATATTTCCTTAAATTTAGTCTGGCATATATGTGACTATTGCATAAAACTTTGTAGGTAGTAACTTTGCGAGTAGAAAAAAACTTTAATACTTAAAGAGACAGTCAATAAACATAGATTCTATTAAAATGAGATAACAATGTATTTAATTTATTTGATTCTTCACTTTTTTATTAATAGGTATGTGGATTTAAAAAATGCTGTAATCCAAGTTATTGTCGAGCAAATGATTTTGCACAATGTGTTAGTGGGGTTTGCTGCCAGCAAAATTGTCAGGTAAGAGCTTCATTTTGGTAATATCTAAGGAGTTTTAAAAATATTTAGTGAAACTATATAGAATAGAGATATCGACACAAGAAACTGCATAGGACTGCTTTCATTCCTACCCACCCCACTCTCATGTATGCCACAGAGTTCTCACTTCCTTCTTTTTTTAATAATTAATTAATTTTTAGTTTTCAACATTCACTTCCATAAAATTTTTCTCCCCTTCCCCAAGATGGTGTGTAATCTGATATAGGTTCTACTTATACATTCATATTAAACAAATTTTCACATTAGTCATGATGTAAAGAAGAATTAGAACTAATGAAAGAAGAAACAAAACAAAATAACATCAACAACAAAAAAGGAGAGCAAATAGTATGCTTCCATCTTCATTCAGACTGCAAAGTCCTTTCTGTGGATGTGGATAGCATTTTCCATCATGAGTCTTTTGGAGTTGTCTTACATCTTTGCATTGCTGAGAAGAGCTAAGTCTATCAAGGCCAGCCATGGCACAATGTGGCTCTTACTGTGCACGGTGTTCTGGTTATGCTCATTTCACTCAGCATCAGTTCATATAAGTGTTTTCAGGTATTTTTGAAATCCTCCTGTTTGTCCTTTCTTATAGCACAGTAGTATTCCATTACATTCATATACCACAACTTGTTTAGCCATTCCCTAATTGATGAGCATCCCCTCAATTTCCAGTTCTTTGCCACCACAGAAAGAGCTGCTATAGATATTTTTGTACATGTGGGTCCTTTTCCTGTTTTTATGATCTCTTTGGGATACAGCCCTAGAAGTGGTATTGCTGGATCAAAGGGTATGCACAGTTGTATAACCATTTGGGCATAGGTCCAAATTGCTCTCCAAAATGGTTGAATCAGTTCACAATTCTACCAACAATGCATTAGTGTTCCAATTTTCCCACATCTTCTCCAACATTAATCATTTTCCTATTTGGTCATGTTGGCACACCTGATAGGTGTGATTTGGTACCTCAGAGTTATTTTGATTTGCATTTCTTTAATCAATAGTGATTTAGAGCATTTTTTTTCATGTGACTATAGATGGTTTTAATTTCTTCATCTGAAAACTGCCTGTTCATATCCTTTGCCCATTTATTGATTGGAAAATGACTTGTATTCTTACAAATTTCGCTCAGTTCCCTATATATTTGAAAAATGAGGCCTTTATCAGAGACACTGCCTGTAAAAATTGTTTCCCAGCTTTCTGCTTCCCTTCTAATCTTGGTTGCATGGACTTTATTTCTGCAAAAACTTTGTCATTTAATGTAATCAAAATTATCCATTTTGTATTTCATAATGTTCTCTATCTCGTTTGGTCATAAATTCTTCTGTTCTCCATATATCTGACAAATAAACTGTTCTTTGCTCTCCTAGTTTGCTTATAATATCAACCTTTATATCTAAATCATGTACCCATTTTGACTTTATCTTGGTATAAAGTGTAAGATGTTGGTCTGTGCCAAGTTTCTGCCATACTATTTTCCAATTTCCCTAGCAGTTTTTGTTAAATAATGAGTTCTTATCCCAGAAGCTGGAGTTTTTGGATTTATCAAATAACAGGTTGCTATATTCATTGACTATTGTGTCTTGTGTACCTAATGTATAATCAGTATAATCAGTACCTGGTATAATCAGTGTTCCACTGATCCACTACCCTATTTCTTAGCCACTACCAAGTGGTTTTGATGCTTGTTGCTTTGTAATACAATTTAAGATCTGGTACAGCTAGGCCACCTTCCCTTGCATTTCTTTTCATTAGTTCCCTTGATATTCTGGACCTTTTGTTTTTCCAGATGAATGTTATTATTGTTTTTTTCTAGCTCCATAAAATAATTTTTGGTAGTTTGATTGATATGGCACTGAATAAGCAATTTAATTTAGGTAGAATTGTCATTTTTAACCTATTAGTTCGGCCTACCCATGAGTAACTGATATTTTCCCAATGTTTTAGATCTGACTTTATTTGTGTGAAAGGTGTTTTATAATTGTGTTCATATAGTTCCTTGGTTTGTTTTGGCAGGTAGACTCCCAAATATTTTATAAAGTCTGCAGTAACTTTAAATGGAATTTCTCTTCTATTTCTTGCTGTTGGGCTTTGTTAGTAATAGAAATGCTAATGATTTATTTGAGCTTCTTTTATATCCTTCAATTTTGCTAAAATTATTTATTATTTCAAGTAATTTTTTACTTGATTCTCCAGGATTTTCTTAAGTATACCATCATATCATCTGCAAAGAGTGATAGCTTTGTTTCTTCTTTGCTTAGTCTAATTCCTTCAATTTCTTTTTCTTCTCTTATTGCTAAAGCTAATATTTCTAGTACAATATTAAATAACAGTGGTGATAATGGACATACTTGTTTCACCCCTGATCTTATTGGAAATGCTTCTAGCTCATCCCCTTTACATATAATGTTTCCTGCTGCTTTTGGATAGATTCTACCTGTCATTTTAAGAAAGACTCCATTTATTCCTATGTTCTCTAGTATTTTTAATAGGAATGGGTGTTTTATTTTCTCAAAAGCTTTTTCTGCACCTATTGAGATAATCATGATTTCTGTTAGCTTTGTTGTTGATATGGTCAATTATACTGACAGTTTTCCTAATATTGAACCAGCCCTGCATTCCTGGTATAAATCCTACCTGGTCATAGTGTATTATTCTTGTGATAAGTTGCTGTAATCTATTTGCTAATATTTTATTTAAAATTTTCACATCTATATTCATTAGGGACATTGGTCTATAATTTTCTTTCTCTGTTTTGGCTCTTACTGGCTTAAATATCAGCACCATATTTGTATAAGAAAAAGAATTTGGTAGGACTCCTTCTTCACCTATTTTCCCAAATAATTGATATAGTATTGGACTTAATTGTTCTTTAAATGTTTGATAGAATTCACTTGTAAATAAATCCATCTGGCCCTGGAGACTTTATCTTATGGAGTTAATTGATGGCTTGTTCAATTTCTTTTTCTGAGATGGGGTTATTTAAGTATTTTATTTCCTCTTCTGTTAATCTGGGCAATTTATCCTTTTGTAAATATTCATCCATTTCACTAAGATTGTCAAATTTATTGAGCAAAATAGTTCCTAATTATTTTTTTGATTTCCTCTTCATTGGTGGTGAATTTACCCTTTTAGTTTTTGATGTTGGTAATTTGGTTTTCTTCTTTCTTTTTTAAATCAAATTAACCAAAAGTTTAATCCATTTTATTGTTTTTTTTTCATAAAACCAGCTCTTAATTTAATTTATTAGTTCAATCATTTTCTTAATTTCAATTTTATTAATCTCTCCTTTTGTTTTCAGAATTTCTAATTTGGTATTTAATTGTGGATTTTTATTTTGTTTTTTTTTCTAGCTTTTTTTGTTGCTTGCCTAATCATTGATTACTTTTGTCTGTATTTTATTCATGTAAGCATTTAGAGGTATAAAATTTCCCCTAAGGAATACTTTCACTGTATTCCACAAATTTTGGTATGTTGTCACGCTATTGTCATTCTCTTGGATGGAATTACTGATTGTTTCTATGATTTGTTGTTTGACCCACTCATTCTTTAGGATTAGATTATTTAGTTTCCAATTAATTTTTAATTTATCTTTCCATGGCCCTTTATTACATGTAATTTTTATTGCATCATGATCTGAAAAGGATGCATTTAATATTTCTGCCTTTCTGCATTGGATTGTGAGGTTTTTATGCCCTCATACATGGTCAGTATCTGTATAGGTGCCATGTACCACTGAGAAAAAGGTATATTCCTTTCTATCCCCATTCAATTTTCTCCAGAGGTTAATTTTTCTAAAATTCTGATTTTCTAACTTTTCTAAAATTGTATTCATCTTCTTTGTTATTTATTCTTTGTTATTTATTTTGTGGTTAGATTTGTCTAGTTCTGAGAGGGAGAGACTGAGGTCCCCCACTAGTATAGTTTTGTTGTCTGTTTCTTCCTTTAACTCCCTTAACTTGTGCTCTAAGAATTTGGATGCTCTACCACTTGGTGTATATATGTTTTGTAATATTATTTCGTTGTCTACGGTACCTTTTTAGCAGAATGTAGTTTCCTTCCTTATCTCTTTTAATTAGATCTATTTTCACTTTTACTTTGTCTCAGATCAGGATTGCTACCCCTGCTTCTTTTACTTCAGCTGAAGCATAATATTTGTGCTCCAGCCTTTTACCTTTATTCTGTGCGTATTCCTCTGCTTCAAATGTGTTTCTTGTAAACAGCATGCTGTAGGATTATGGTTCTTAATCCACTCTGCTATCTGCTTCTGTTTTATGGGAGAGTTCATCCCATTCCCATTCACAGTTATAATTACTATCTGTGTTTTTCTCTCCATCCTATTTTCCCACCTGTTTATGCTTTTCTCTCTCCTTTCTCCCTTTCCCTCCTCACTAGAGTTTGCTTTTGACCACTGCCTCCCTCAGTTGCCCTCCATTCTATCCACCCCTCCCTCTTCTTTCCTCTTTCCTTTCCTACTTCATATAGGATATGTTAGATTTTTATACCTAACTGATTATATTTTTGCCTCTTTGAGCCAAATCTGATGAGAATAAGGTTCAAACAATGCTCATCCTCCTCCCTTCATTCCCTCTATTGTAATATGGTTGTGTGCCTTTTCATGAGATGTGATTTACCCTTGTCTACCTTCTCCTTTCCTCTTCTCTCAAAACAATCTCTTTTCACCACTTAATTAGATTTTTTATCATCACATCAAAGTCAATTATACCCACACCCTCTGACTATGTGTACCCCTCTTAAATGTTGTAATGATACAGTTGTCAAGAGTTACAAGTGTCATCTTCCCTCTTAGGGGTGTAAACAGTTTGCCCTTGTTAATAGCATGCTGTTGGTTTTTTTTATTTCCTGTTTATCTTTTTATATCTCTCTTGAGTTGTGCTTCCTGGAGCTGTGCTGAAGTACTGGGAGATTCTGTTGCTGGAGAATGCCGGCATACATGGTGGTTTTCTGAGCTTGTGTCTTCTGGTTCCCCTGCTTGTGCTGAGGCACTCAGAGGGCTAGGGAAGGAGTCCTGGTATTGACACTTACCTGCTCTACCACCATGGGGCTCAGCATCTCCCCCTGGTTTGCTGAAGTGGGGCTTGCCATTGAATTGCTGGGGTACCTTGCATCCTGTACTGGTTCCCCTCCCCCAGAGTGAGAGGGGCCTTTCCTGTTAATCTCCCAAGCTTCCTGGGCTACAAGACTACTGCACTCCATCTTTCTGCTGGCTTAGCTGTTCTGGCATTTCTCCTGGGGCGATATTTTCTAGGCTTTCAGAGGTCAGTAAAGGAGGGTGACAGCAAATTACTTCTCATTTCTCCATTTTGGCTCCTGGAAGTCTGAAATAGAATATTTAAATAGCCCTATTTTAGAAAAAGTAATTGTCCCATAAATGAGCTTAAGGAAGAAAAATCCAGGAACAGAATTATGCGTGACTTCTACCAAACATTTAAAGAATAATTCTAATACTATAGAAATATATAGAATATATATAGAAATATATATATAGAAATATAAAAAAGAAAGTCTTTTCATTCCTTCTATGACAAAAATATAGTTTTAATACCTAAATAAGGGAGAACAAAAACAGCGCAAGAAAACTGTAGTTCAATTTCCCCAATGAATTGATGCAAAAATTTTAAATAATATACTACCCAAGGAGTTTACAATATATCACAAAGATCATACACTATTATCAGACTGGATTTATACCAAGAATGCAGAGCTGGTTGAACATTTGGAAAACTATAAGCATAATTGTCCATATCAATAACAAAAATAAAAATAATTTTATTATTTCGATACAAAAAAAGCTTTTGACAAAATACAACACCTATTCCTATTAACAACACTAGAAAGCATAGGAATAAATGGAGTTTTTCTTAAAATTATAATAGTATCTATCTAAAACCAAGAGTAAATGTCAACTATAATATGAATAAATCAGGAGTGAAGCAGGGATATCCATTATCACCATTATTATTCAATATTCTACTAGATATGTTAGCTCTAGCAATACGACAAGAAAAATAAATTGAAGGAGTGCACAAAGGCAGTGAGGAAACAAAACTCTCAGTCTTTGCAAACTATATGATTGGATCTAGCATTAGAGAACCCTAGAGAATCAACTAAAAAACAATGAACAACTTTAGCAAAATTTTAGGATATAAGATAAACCCACACAAATCATCAGTATTTCTATATATTACTGACAAAATCCAAAAGGAAGAGTTAGAAAAATAAATTCTATTTAAAATAACAACAGACAGTGGAATATCCTTGGGAGTCTACCTGCCAAAATACACACAATATCTGTATGAATACAATTACAAAATACTCTTCACACAAATAAAGATAGATCTAAACAACTGGAGAAATATTAATTGCTGGTGGGTAGGCCAACACATGACACAACCATAATAGAGACAAAAACTAACTCCACTGTCCACACCTTATTCTCCCAATCCTAGTGATATTCAATCCTTGGATCCCTAAGAATAAACCATCTTCTCTCCAACCTCTACAATCCATTTTCTCTTCTCAATCCATGCCTCTGCAAGGTCTCACTCCAGTTCTGCTCACCCTTTCCATCATGCTCTCTGGAACTCATGTTCCTTAATAAGCTTTCTTTCACTTTTGGACCTCTTCCTCTCATGCATCTTTTATCTTTTGACACTCACTGAGAGTTGGCTTCTCTCAAACCTGTTCAGTACAGATTTAATCTTCTCATCCTCCTGACACCCTGGAACCGAAGGAGAGTCAGAATACCTTGCTTTGCAGTCATTCCATCTGCCACATCACTCAGGTCTTCTTTTGGTATGTCTAGTTCAGAATGCCCTATGGGCTACTGGTGAATTGCTACTAAAGTTCTCCACCTTTGAGGTTAACTGTTTCCAAATTTATCACTGAATCTAGACTCTGGCAGGGCCTTTAAGTCATTCCCCGCCTTTCTTAAGGAGTTTGGTACCTGATTCATAGTCTTCCCCAATACTTTAACTCTGGCCTTTATAGTAAGGAACTTCAGTTTCATGTTGATGTGCCCCTCAAACATCTTAATCTCTTAGTTCCTCAATCTACTCCACTGTCCCTCTCCACCACAGTTATGTCCAGGGATGGTCATGTCCATGATGTTTATGTTGCCCACAAGTACTTCACTTTCAAGATCAAAAATTCTGAAATTGCTTTATCTGATCATAGCCTATTATTTCAGCTTCTCCTATAATTTATTCTTTCTAATCCATTCTTCATCCTCAAAATATGCTCTTATCCTTCCACATCTCAGTTTATTCCCAGAGTATACATCACCCCTGATCTGGCTTTAATTTACTCTCTTCCAATCATAACCCATTAGTGTACCAGTTCACTATCCTCTAATTTTGAATTTCTCACTCTCTTGTTCTGTCACTACTCAGAACTTGCCAAGCCCCAGGCCTGAAATGTTCCTACTATATACCTCATTTCCTCCAATTTCCATGCTGTTCCATGGAACCATGGTGACTGATTCCACAATTAACTGAAGCTGTCTCATCTCATCTGGGCCCAAGGTTGAACAAAGTGCTCAATATATGATACTATTAAGACTTGGAGAATTAGTTTCCTCAAAAATCCCCAATGAAATGTGGAATGTTGGTATTTCAGAGTGTGTCTGCATGGTATCTCACTTTAATATGTTTGGTGGTACATACTGATGACAGCTTTGGGTCCTCAAAAGAGGGAGGTACAAAGGAGGAGGAAGTTATTACCATTTCTACTGAGCTTTGAAGGATGATTAGGATGTCAGTGGGTGAAGATGTAGGGGGACAATGAATAGCAGCATAGAAGTGGGAAATCGTTAGTCATGTATTGCAGTATGATGATTAGAGTTTGCCTGAGAGGCAATAGATTAAGAGAAGGCTGTAAGAGTAAATCAGAACTTAATGAGATTTGATGACTTGTCTGATACACTTGAACTTTTATTGAAGACAATAGGAGGTTTCTGATTCTTGGAGTAACAGAACCATACCTGTGCTCTAGGTAGTGGTGTATATGACAAATTGGAGGGTAAAAACAATAGGAATTAAAGAAAATCTAAAGAATACTATTTCAGTAATTCAGATGGGTAGTAATGAAGGCCTAAACTGTAGTTGTAGCAGTGGGAATGCTAACTGTGGAGGGGAGGGTTTGATGCAAGGGATATTTTGGTAATAAAATTGACAATATTTGGTGACTGATTGATTAGATGTGTAGATTGAAGGAAAGAGAGGAATCAAAAATGATGTATCTGAGATTACAAACACAAGTGACTAGAAGAATGGTGGTATCATTGGCTGAGCTGATAACATTAAGAAGTGAAACAGTTTTTTGGGGGGATGGAATGATGAGTTAAGTTTTAATATGTTGAACTATAGATACAATTTCATATTAGGTAGAGGAGTCTAATAGTTATTTGAGAAAATGAGTGAAGTTCTAAAGAGTCCAGGATTAAATAGGTAGATTTGGGAGTTCTGTACAGAGAAGTTGATAGTTGAAACCATGGGAGGGTGGATGAGATCACTGAAAGAAGACATATAGAAAGAAGAGAAGAATGCTGAAAATAGACCATTAGAGAATATTTATATTTAGGAGGTGAGAAAACAAAAAGTAACTCTTCCTTGTTTTGGCTTCCTATATTTTCCTCTTCCAGTGCTTTATATTTCCTAGCCCTTTCATCTCAAAACTTAATTCTGAAAACACTCAACTTCTTTTCGAGGTGTGGTTTGAAACATTCAGTGTGAATGTTTATAAATTTTAGCTCATTTGCCTAAAGAGAAATTTGTTGTTATTACCAAATTACAAAGATAAATTGCATAGTTTTGAAGTAGAAAATTTTATATCTGTCCACATTAACAGATTAATTTTCTTATTTTTTCCTATCTTCTTATACTATCTACCAGTATAATCGAGGGGGTTTATGTAGACCTGCATTTGATGCACTCTGTGATTTTCCTGAGAAATGTAATGGCAGCTCTGCAGTATGCCCAGTGGATTTAAAGGCAAAGGATGGAAGTTTATGTGCTGGCCCTTCGAATATATGTTTTGATGGAACATGCCAGAACCCTGATAAACGATGTCAGCATCTATTTGGAAAAAGTAGGATATTTGTGTATACTTTGGTTACTGTCATCAACACTAGTAAGTTAAAGAGGAACTTGACTTAAAAATTGTAGTAAATTTTAAAAAAATTATCATAAGTAGTAAACAGTCAGCCTTCCATAGTGAAAACAGAGTTAGCCATTCTAATTCAGATTTTAAAGTTCTAGTCTCTCACCTATAAAATGGCTCAAACTACAACTTCAGTATAAATCTCACTACAAATGATAGAAATGATATTAACAGTTTTAGGAATAGGTGATACAGATGGTCACCCAGTTTCTTGATTCTGTATTTGAGGGGTCCATAAGGTGTAATGAAAAACTGCTTGAAGGGGCATATTCTTTAGGGAAGAATCCAAGGTGAATTATGTGACCAAGGGAGCTTATACCAGAGATGTAGATCAAGACTTGGCTAGGATGATAGGATTATAGAACTGAATGGCTTGTACTGGTACTGACTCTTCCTTAGTTCATAAAATCTTAAGAAATCTCAGTCATCCCAGGATTGACTTTGTGTTTTGTGCTTGTCTCCTGGCATAAGAGAGTTCTTCCTGGGAGGATATAGGGCTTCCCTGTTGACCTTAGCTATCTACAATTGGGTTCAGAGTGCCATACTCCCCTAGTGTAGGTGCAGCTTTCAATAGGTTAAGTCCTTCTCTGGGTACCCAGTTCATGTCAGAGGAAAGGCCTATAGGCCAGCCAGAGACATGGAGAAAACAACCCCTTAATGAGTTCAGGTGCTGAGAATAACATGTAAAACAATAGCCAGTTCAATGCAAAGCTTTATTACAAGCAATGAGAAAGAGTGGGGAGGAAAGAAAGGAAAAGGGGACCTGATATACAATTCAAGCATACACATTATCACAGAATATAATCCACATAAGGGCATGCTGTGTTGGGCAGAAAGGGGGCATTCCACTAGGAAGGGCTTCTCCTGCTGGAGGGGAGTGTTATCCTGGTAGAAGGGAATGGGCGCTCTAGTGGTAAGGTGTGCTTCTGCTGGAGAGGAGGGTTTGCCCCAGGGGGAGGGGGTGCTCCAGCTGGAGAAGAGGGTATGCTCTAAAGTGTTCTTCTGAGTGAGTTTTTTATACTATAATTTTGGATGGCCTCCCCGGAGCTCGCTGAATTGTGTATTAGGAGTCAGGGAAAACATTATTTTGGGGATTTATTATCAGAGAGGAAAAACAAAGTGGTGGTAGACAAAGTATTATTTTGGGAGTTTTCATATAAGAGAGAAAAGCTGGTGATAGACAAGATATTATTTGGGGGACACAGATGTGGTAACCTTCAAAACATTGTCAGTATTTTCCCATATTCTGTTAGCTTACAGACTCCCTCAAGGGCCTCAAAACAATCAGGTTTAATCTTATATAGTGAATGAAAGGTGAAAGGACTGAAGAAACAAAGGTCTGATCTACTGAGCATGTTGATTTATTAAGAAATGCATGATAATTGCCCAACTGGTACCAGACCTCCTTAGCTTAGACCTGGACCCTGGATACAGGGGGAGACAGACTTTTACACTTTAAAAACAATTAATCAGAAAAAACCAATTAATTAAAAGAAAACAACACAACATTAAGTAATCCAGCTTCTAATTAGAGGAAAGATTAGGGACTTTCCAAGCTGGGAGGGGTAGAATGTACAGGTGCAGTTCCCTGAATTCAGAAAATAGAGGTGTCCCACTCCCCCAAGTGCCTGTGAACAGTCAAAGGAATATGGAAAGAATAACTGATCATTTGGGGGCCAGTTTTCAGATAAGACATATGGATTACTTGAAATGTACAATTGTGAGAAAACTCTTTGCATCAGTCTTTGGATCTGACTGGGTTTCTGGTCAGTATAACCTAGGTCCTTGATTAAGGGTCTCTAAAGAGCAGATGGAGGTAGTCCAGTTTCTCACCCATACAGGGCTAGGTTCAAAAAATGCAATAAGGTTTTTTCCCAGTTCCCACAATTGACTAAAGTTTTCTCACAAGGCAGAAATTCGAATAGAGCCATAATTGAATAGAAAGGGAAGCGAGCTAGCTCCAGAGTTGAGTCACAAGATAGAGTCAGTGTGGTATACTCAATTCCCACAATTAACCATCTGCTGTGCTAACCCCCTCAATTACCTCAAACAGTGGTTTCCATATATGCATTCTATAAGTTACAGCCTCACTTACGGGGAAACTCACGGTGGTCTCAAGACCACTAGGTCCAATCTCAGAGGACTTTGGAATTCAGACATAATTTCGTTATTTTGTAATATCCAATCTTGGAATTTTTTCATTTACTTTTAAAAATATTTATTTATTTATTTAGTTTTAGTTTCCAACATTCACTTTTATAAGATTTTGAGTTTTAAATTTTCTACTCTTCCCCCACCAAGATGGTGTGCAATCTGATATAGGCCATACATGTAGTTGTATTTGCACATTAGTCTTGTAAAGAAGAATTAGAAACAAAGGGAAAAAGAAAAAAACAAAAAACAAAAAACAAAACAAAAAAGAAAAGGAAAAATAGTATGCTTTGATCTGCATTCAGACTCCATAGTTCTTTCTCTAGATGTGGATAGCATTTACATCATGAGTCTTTTGGAATTGTCTTAGATCATTGCATTGCTGAAAAGAGCTAAGTCTATCAAAGTTGGTCACTGCACAATGTTGCAGTTACTGTGTACAATGTTCTGGTTCTACTCACTTCACTCAGCATCAGTTCATGCAAGTCTTTCTAGGTTTTTCTGAAGTCCACCTGCTCATCATTTCTTATGGAACAATAGTATTCCATTACATTCATATACCAACTTGTTCAATCATTCCCCAATTGATGGACATCCCCTCAATGTCCAATTCTTGGCCACCACAACAAGAACTGCTATCAATATTTTTATACATGTGGGTCCTTTGCCCTTTTTTGTGATCTCTTTGGGGTACAGACACCAAATTGATTCTGGATCAAAGGTTATGCACATTTTTGTAGCCCTTTGGGCATAGTTCCAAATTGCTCTCCAGAATGATTGGATCAATTCACAACTCCACCAACAATGCATTAGTGTTCCAATTTTCCCACATCTTCTTCAACATTAATCATTTTCCTGTTTGGTCATGTTCATCAATCTGATGGATGTGATGTGGTACCTCAGAATTATTTTAATTTGCATTTCTCTAATCAATAGTGATTTAGAGCATTTTTTTATATGACTGTAGATAGCTTTAATTTCTTCTTCTGAAAACTGCCTGTTCATATCCTTTGATCATTTATCAACTGGGGAATGACTTGTGTTTTTATAAATTTGACTCAGTTGTCTATACATTTTCAAAATGAGTGGAGAACATTTTCCATCATGAGTCTTTTGGAGCTGTCTTAGATCCTTGCATTGCTAAGAAGAGATAATCCAGAGAAAGAGCTATGGAGTCTGAATGCAGAGGGAAGCATATTATTTGCTTTCTTTATGTTTTTTGTTTCTTCTTTCTCGTGGTTTCTCCCATTGGTTCTAATTCTTCTTTACAACATGACCAATATGAAAATAGGTTTAATATGAATGTATATGTTGAGCCTATATCAATTTACATGCTGTCTTGGCATGGGAGGAGGGGAGAGATAGGGAGAAAATTTGGAACTCAAAATCTTATGCAAGTGAATGTTGAAAACTAAAAATAAATAAATTCATTAAAAAAAAAAGAAATGAGGCCTTTGTCAGAGACACTGGCTATAAAAATTGTTTCCCAGATTTCTGTCTCCCTTCTAATCTTGGTTGCATTGGCTTTCTTTTTGCAAAATTTTTTAATTTAATGTAATCAAAATGATCTATTTTGCATTTCATAATGTTCTCTATTTCTTGTTTGGTCATAAATTCTTCCATTCTCCATAGACCTGACAGGCAAACTATTTCTTGCTGTCCTAATTTGCTTATAGTATTACCCTTTATGTTTAAATCATGTACTCATTTTGACTTTATCTTGGTGTGTGGTATCAGATGTTGTTCTGTGCCTAGTTTCTACCATACTAATTTCCAGTTTTCCCAGCTGTTTTTGTCAAAAAGTGAGTTCTTATCCCAGAAGCTGGAGTCTTTGGGTTTATCAAAAAGTAGATTACTATAGTCATTGACTTCTGTGTCTTGTGTACCTAACCTATTTCACTGATCTACCATTCTATTTCTTAGCCAGTAACAAGTAGTTTTGATGATTGCTGCTTTATAATACAATTTTAGATCTGGTACTGCTAGGTTACCTTCCCTTTCATTTCTTTTCATTAATTCCCTTGATATTCTGGACCTTTTGTTCTTCCAGATGAATCTTGTTTTAATTTTTTTCTAGTTCTATAAAATAATTCTATAGTTTGATTGGTATGGCACCAAATAAGTAGATTAATTTAGGTAGAATTGTCATTTCTAACATATAAGCTCGGCCTACCCATGAGCAACTGTTGTTTTCCCATTTATTTACCTCTGACTTTATTTGTGTGAAAAGTGTTTTATAATTGTGTTCATATAGTTCCTGGGTTTGTCTTGACCAGTAGACTCCTAAATATTTTATATTGTCTACAGTAACTTTAAATGGAACTTCTCTTTCTATCTCTTGCTATTGGGCTTTGTTGGCAATATATAGAAATGCTAATGATTTATGTGGGTTTATTTTATATCCTGCAACTTTGCTAAAGTTGTTTATTATTTCAAGTAACTTTTTACTTGATTCTCCAGGATTCTTTAAGTATACCATCAAGTCATCTTCAAAGAGTGATAGCTTTGTTTCTTCATTGCCTGTTCTAATTCCTTCAACTTCTTTTTCTTCTCTTATTGCTAAAGCTAACATTTCTAGTAGTGATAATAGACATCCTTGTTTCACCCCTGAGCTTTATTGGAAATGCTTCTAGCTTATCTCCATTACATATAATGCTTCCTGCTGCTTTTGGATAGATTCTACCTATCATTTTAAGAAAGACTCCATTTATTCCTATGCTCTCTAGTATTTTCAGTAGGAGTAGGTGTTTTACTTTGTCAAAAGCTTTTTTCTGCAT